ACCCCTGCCCGACGCTCGGGGAGGGGAGCGAGACCGCCTCCGGGCCGGGGAGACAGCTCTTCGCGCCCCTCGGCGCCCCGGGCTGGTGGCTCCAGCCCCAGGAGCTCCGCGGCGCCATGGGGTGGGGAACCGGGTTTGCGCCCGGCACTTTCTCCCGGGGCTCCCTGGGCTGTGCGGAGTGTGAGATAGGAGTTGCAATTTGGGGAGCTCTCCCTTTCTCGCCTTTAAACAGTTTTTCCACTTGCCCTTGACTAGGGCATATTTTACCACTCTGCCTGCAGCTTACTCTTTGCTCTTCCATTCTGCTAGCTGCGATTTCAGCGAGCTGCCCTGGGCGGGAAGACACCCGGCTCCCCACCCTCATCCTGTCTCTCCCGCCCCACCCCGCGCGCCCCCTCCCTTTCGCCAACTCTGGCGTCTCAGATCCCTGCTCTCTCTATGCTCCTGTCTTTGGAGCTGGGCCTGGGCAGTGACTGGATGCTTGGGGTTAAATGGTGCAGGAGCACAGACGCGCAGGAGTCCCCGGGATTTTCCACGTCGCTGTCTCCCCACCCACACCTCGGCCAGGGGTCTAGTTCGGACTGACCCAACCCCGCACTTTCTCTCTGCAGGCAAACTGTGGGTGACGGTGCCTGCGGGGGACTGTGCCATCTGTCCGCCAGGATCTGGGGAGGAAGAACCAGCAGCTCCCCACCCCCTCCCCCTCCACCACCATTTTGGATACTCCGCAGGGACGCGTTTTGGGGTTCCCACTGACTTCCAGGAAGGACGCGTGCCCCTCTCTGACCCCAGCTCCGGCGGCCACCTGTGTTCGCCGCGGTCACCCTTTGCCCATGACCCTGCGGTGCCTTGAGCCCTCCGGGAATGGCGCGGAAGGGACGCGGAGCCAGTGGGGGACGGCGGGGTCCTCGGAGGAGTCGTCCCCGGAGGCAGCGCGCCTGGCGAAGGCCTTGCGGGAGCTCAGTCAAACAGGTAGGGAGCGGAATGGCAGCCGCGCGCGAGGGGGCGCCTGCGCCAAGACGCAGCCGGGAGGTGGGGACGGACTAGGAGGCAAAGAATGAGATGGAAAAACGTCCCCTCACTTCCCATCCCCGCCTCAGAGCCGGGACGGCGGGGAGGATGCCCTCACCAGCCTGGATCCTTGGGAATGAGAAAGGAAAGTGGCTCTGGAGAGACTCCGGCCTGGAGGAGGGCCCGAGAAGGGCTCCTCGGAAATTGCCCCTTAGGGCGCTGGAACCTTTAACTGTTCTCCGCGCTCTCAGGGGTGGGCGCTCGGGCTCGAACCCTAGCTGGAGAAAGTGCCTGGTGCCTTACTCTCCGCGGGGTGCAAGGCGGCGAGTGGGCGCAGCGCTGCGGCAGCTTCTGCTGCATCCGGCTCCCGGGTGGAGCCGCCACCGCCGCCCGGGATCTTGGCGGCCAAGGCCAGGGACCGACAGATTGCCGCCCGGGCGGCTGCCGAGGAACCTGGAGGAGCGCGGTCCCCGAACCCCCGCCGCGCTCCACCTGCAGGGGGTCTTTCCAGCGCCGCCCTGCGCCTTGCGCGGCTGGCAGTTGTCTCTCGGCTTCTGGAGAAAGGAGTGAAAAACGATTCTGGCGAACCATGCAGGATTATATCTCTGGATCCCAAAAGCTTACGTTTGGGGCAAAGTTTAAGTTTTGGTAGCTCTAGGAAGAGGGGACTGTTTCCTCACTTTAGGTTGTGGTCTTTACGTGCGGGCCATGGGCTTTTCCCCTCAGCTTGGAGAGACTGACTTAGGGGATCCGAGCAACTTTTTTAGGGGGCCATATTGTTCACACTTCTAAAATTAAGAATGTCTCTAGGTCATTTTTGCAAACGGGATGAGCCCGGGAGATGGTGCACAAGGCAGACCAAATCGAGAATGCTGGGAGACCCATGGACGGTTGGGATTGGATTTGAGTTAGGGCAAAGTCCAAAATATTGCAAGCTTGAAGTACTAATTATTCATTGGGGTTTCCCTCATTTCTCAGTGACTGATAAGGTAGTTGTAATTGAGGAGGTAAACAGAAGCTATTGTACCTAGAACTGCGTTTTTAAAGCAAGTAAATAGCAGTGCTTTCTAGGGCTTTGAACAGAGATGCAGCCACTGACAGATTTGGGGGAGAGTAGGGGGACACCAACCATCCAAAAAGTTGCTTCTGTTTTTTCTCTATTGGAATTACTGGAGTTCAGTTTTACACATTTTTAAGGGCATGAATTTTATTTTTAACTTCTCATTTATTTCTAATTTACTTTAAATCTTGAGTGGTGCTGGAAGCACCATGCTTTGTCAGCCAGCGTGTCATATTGTAAATATTCTTTTGTTTCATTAGGAGAAAATCTAGATACTTTAAAGAATAGCTACAGAAAATTACTTTTAAAAAAAACTGCCTCACACCTTGTGTTCATAAAATAACATGGACCTACATTTTCATTAAATTTCTATTGAAAGTATTTGTGGTAGTCTCTAGTAAACTTTCACTCACACAGTTCTTTTTAGAGCTAGAAAAAAAATGTTGTCAAGTACTTGCCCCATTTAAAAAATTCTTTATAATAACAATTTTACCCTCTTTTCTTTTTCTTTTTGAACAAAACCCCAGGTTGGTACTGGGGAAGCATGACTGTTAATGAAGCCAAAGAGAAATTAAAAGAGGCACCAGAAGGAACTTTTTTGATTAGAGATAGTTCGCATTCAGACTACCTACTAACAATATCTGTTAAAACATCAGCTGGACCAACTAATCTCCGAATCGAGTATCAAGATGGGAAATTCAGATTGGACTCTATCATATGTGTCAAGTCCAAGCTTAAACAGTTTGACAGTGTGGTTCATCTGATAGACTACTATGTTCAGATGTGCAAGGATAAGCGGACGGGCCCAGAAGCCCCCCGGAACGGCACTGTTCACCTTTATCTGACCAAACCGCTCTACACATCAGCACCACCTCTGCAGCATCTCTGCAGACTCACCATTAACAAACGCACCGGTGCCATCTGGGGACTGCCTTTGCCAACAAGACTAAAAGATTACTTGGAAGAATATAAATTCCAGGTATAAGTGTTTCTCTTTTTCTAAACATGCCTCATATAGAATATCTCCGAATGCAGCTATGTAAAAGAGAACCAAAACTTGAGTGACTGCTCTGGATAACTACACGGAATTCTAAGAACAGCTGAACCAATCTAACTTACATGTGTGATGAGGTAGCTAGGTCACAATATTTTCACCTGAGTAATGCTTCCCTTCCTAAGGCTAAGACCAGCTGATCCTTTTGAGTCAAAAAGTAAATGTCCCAAGTAAAGGCTGAAGTAACATTTTTGTCAGAGTGCATTGCCTTTCTGAGGTTCCTTTCTTTTTGGTCGAAGGTCCAAGCACCAGTAGTAGAGAAAGAACTCCACGAAGGAGTCCTGAAGAAGGCGAAGGAAACTGAGACAGGCTTAACTTCCATTTTATATGCCTGGTGATCCGAGTCTATTTTGGACATGTTATATTTTGCATTCTAATGTACCTAGAGATTTTGTTGGTCAGATATGCTTGTGAGTATTTATCCTTCATTTTATGCAATTAACCAAGTCAACCAAAAAAAGTGACCACGAAATCCTGTATTTGTCTTTTTACTACATGTATGAACTCTCATGTGAATGAGTACTGTAGTAATCCATTTTAAGGGAGCCTTACTTCAGAAATATTTCAAACTGGTGCAAATGGAAAAGACTTTGTCTTTTCCTTTAAGGCTAAAGACAAGAATGTCATGCTATATAGGTGCAACCCAGTCCTGGTTAATAAAACCATGTAGATACAGACATTTTACCCTTTGAAGTAGCTGTGTCCCAACCTGTTGCCATGGATTTTTTTGGAAATGGCTTTAGAAATTTCCAAGTTGTCCTTGAATTGTCTAGCTATGGACATCAGCAGTTGTCTCCCTTCTACCATGTAGAAAACTTTGACTTAATTTTCTTCCAGATATAGGGGGATACCTGCCTGTTTTTCAAAGTGTTTATTTACTGCTGTTACTATTTGATTAGAATGTATTAAATAAAAAAAAACCCTGGCTTTTACAAGTTGCGCTTATATTACTTTGAATCATAGAAAACATACACTTTCTTGGTAATAGGAGGTTGCCATAAAAGTTTATGTCAAGTGGAATAAGCCAAATATTCAGCAAGAGGTAGAACATTGCTTGCCCTTCCCTGAAGCTATGGGTCATATTTGTCCTGTGTTTTGGAAAGCATGGTTTAGAAACTACAAGACTTGCCAAGTGGCCCTTTTACGAGTTGAACAGGCATAACACTAATGTCCTTTGTATTTCCAAAAACATGGTTTAGAAACTACAAAAACTGATATTTCCTAGTTTTTAGAGGTTGAGTAGGCATAATACATAATAAAAAAAGTTTATGGCCATTTATTTTTTTGCTACATAGGCTCATGACTGTTGCAAATATACCATCTCTTGGTGTCCAGACATTATTCATTTGCCATCTTAAAAAAATTCTTCTGCATAGCTACATATAATGGTATTTTATTGGGAAGGCAAACCTAGTGTATCGTGTGTATCCCATCTGAATTATGCTAAGACAGAAACATATAATTTATGCTTATAAATTATAGCAAAAGGTGCTTAAATATTTTCATGAAGTTCTGCTTGTGTATTCAAACAGCAGAGCCAAACATGAAAGATTGCTAGGTGTCCCTTAGGAAGAATTAATTTGTAGCCTAAAAGTTAAAGAACAGCCATACTTTTAGGGTCTGGTCTATGATCGGGAGTTAACCTTTTCATTAAGATGTTCAGGTTCTGTGCATTACTTACCCTTTTTCTCCACCGAAAGCGGTTGTCCGGGATGGGATGTTTGACTTCTCTGGCAAAACTTCCACATGGCCACTGCCAAGGGGCTTTGTGGGATTTCTTTAAGGTCTTTCGCACTTCTGTTCTCATTGTTTCAGACACTCAGTTATTTCTCAGTTATTGAGAGTTGGACACAGTCGTGGGGTGTGAGTACCCGTGGAACTGTGGAAAGTTCTGTACTATTGCTAGCAAGTGACTAATGATGAGAAAACCAGAGGACAGCAAAACATCTTGAGTGTGCTGCGGAACCATTATTGCCTCACATTTCAATCTTCCCTATTTCAAGTACGTTGATAAACATTAGGAGACAGTCGCTCTCTTTTTTGTTTTTTTGTTTTATTTTGTCTTGTTTTTTGTTTTTTTTTTCCAATTAGTAATATTTACTTCTGAATTTATTGTGTGCCAGGTTCTTACTCAGCACTTGACATGCATTATCTCATTTAATCCTCACTCAGACTAGATGAGCAAAGTGCAGTGATCACAGGAGGTATACCTTCTGATTTGTGAGTGAGGAGGCATTCCAGGAATATCCTAGCCCTTTTTATTCCTGGAGAACTACGAAGAGCAAATTGCTGCTATTTCTACATTGATCCAGACAAACAAGTTAGAGCAGGCTATAAAAGGAACCCTCAGCATTTTTATTGCTGCTTCAACTGGAAAAGTATAGGTACCTTAATTAGTGTTGTGCTCTATGCGATTTCAGTCAGCTGGGCCCAGTGCTTTTCTCCTGGTGTGGGGGTGGGTCAGGAGGGGGTGTCACTGGTTTACTTGGTGGCGGGTACATGATGCTGGTTACGAGTTATTGGTAGCTCCATTTTATAGACCACTGAACAAAAACGTTAAGGTGTATACTTGCCTAAATTATCCTCAACAGAGCCAAGAAAAATACCCAGGGATCTCTTTGTGTGCAGGGCAGTTTCTGACATTAGTGAGGGTTTGTATTGTTGCTGCTATTGAAGAATGTAGGATGCGGGACTTAACATACCCTCTCAAATTTAAAATACTTTGAGTTTCCATTGGGAGCAGAGTTGAGGAAGTGGTTTTTCATTCTATCAAAGTGGGCACTGGGGACTGCTTTTTAGGGAGCTGGGGTTTTCTGTTTTGTTTTTAGGGCTTTGGACAGTGGAGAAAAGGCAGTTCAGCTTGTGAGCTGAGAGTTCTTTTCTGGTGTGTCAGTAAAAAATCCTGACTTCATAGTAATTATGTAATCCAAATAGGTAAGAGAATGGTGCAGTTGTTTGGGAGTGTTTATTTTCTTGGGAAGGATTTTCTCTGCTTTTAGAAAATTGTACCCTGGTAGGGAGGGTAAGAGACAGAGACGTCATCAAATAATCCACGGGATGGAATGTCCTGAGACCAGGCCGTGTTCTGCTCCGTGTGGGTAGGCACAGGGTGGTGGGGGTGAGTGGCTGTGGTTACATCTAACAGCTGGGCTCAGGCCTCTCGTCTCCCAGTGGTCATTTCTAGCTTCTGGAGCAAAAAAGGATTGTCATTCATTCTAGGCCTTTTGTTTACTAATGGGCCTTGTATTTTCCACTTTTCTAATGTAATTTAGTTTTGCATTTTACTGAAGACTATCAGGCCCAGGGAAGTCAGGAAATTTGCATATATATATACACACACAAACACACACACACCATACAGCAAATCCGTGGTGGCGGTCAGTGAACGCATATTTTAACAGTTTAGTTGTAAGAACTGCACCCTTGTACTCTTTGTTTAAATTGTCAATACTGTATTTCTATACCCTGTAAGCCCTACAATTCTTTTAACATCTCATTTTTCTTCCTCTGAAACTAGACCGGAGGCCTTTGGAATACTATATGAGATAATTCCAATTCTTGGCTCCTTCCACCCCACTTCAAATAATCGGCTTCTGCTTGGTTTCATGGTGTCTTGATCCACGTTAGAGTTTTGCATTCATTTTAACTCCTCAACGTTTCTAACCTATTTTCTGTTTTAGTATCTAAACCCTGCCATCCATGCTCTTTTATGATCTCATTTCTGCTTCTGCCAGATGTGACTCACACACAGTCGTGTCCGGGTGACTGCCCACCTCCTGTCCGCACCGGTGGAGTCCATTCTTTTGCCCGCTCATGGGCATAATGGCAGTTAATTCCTGCCTCACTTTCTCCCTTTTGTGTCATTAAGTTGCCCTTTTAGCTCCTCTGACATAGCTCCGCTGGCCGTATTACAGTCCAGTGAAAGAGAGTCATTATGTTCTCGAGTTGGGTGATTGAATGATTTGGAATACTTTGAGATTAAATCTGTCTCTTAGTCTCTCTCTTTGATTCCTTTCAGGTTTTCAAACAAGTAGCTAGCCTCAAATACCACACATTTGTTATGTGCATGCTTTAATTTTTTTTTCAAGTATCAGAGTATCAGAGACTCCTTAAGTTGCATTTCATTTTATTGAAATGTAAATGCCCTCCATTCCTTCCTTCTGCTTGTCTATATGGAAGTGATTTTGTGATAGTCTTTTTTTTTTTTTTAAGAATTCAGTCATTTATTTTTATTTATTTTTTAATCCTCACCCGAGGATATTTTTTCCCCCATTGCTTTTCAGAAAGAGTGGAAGGGGGGAGAGAGAGGGAAACATCGATGTGAGAGAGACACATTGATTGGTTTCCTCCCGCAAGGCTTGAGCCTGCAACCGAGGTACATGCCCTTGGCCAGAATCAAACCTAGGACCCTTCAGTCCAGGCCGACACTCTAACCACTGGGCCAGACCAGCTAGGGCTGTGATAGTCTTGTTTCACTCCTACATAGGCATATACTTTTTTATTCCTGTATTCACATTTTTTCCCCCAGTTTTTTTTCTATGTGGCTTGAGTTCAGGTTACTTAACCTTCTTACCAAAGTAAAGCAACAGCTGTTGCTATGGTTGCTATGGTGGCCTTTAAAAGCCCTGGAGTCCCCAGTGCCTGGATAGTAAGTACGCTGAAATCATGGAGCACAGCTGGATATTCCTTTGTACCCCTCCAGGAGCTTTGTCAACAAGAGGCTGGATCAGACGAGTGCTGTCCCAGAGAATGGGGCTCACGTCAGTAAACATTCAGTGAGCTATAAAAATAAGACTGCTTTTACAGACAGTCTCACTTGGAACTGTATCCTTAACTTATAGGAACTCTGACTTGCCCTGGAGATCAGGCACACATTTTGTGAACTATTACTCATGTCGCGCTGCCTCTGTTAGAAACGGGAGGGGAAGGCAAGCCAGGGTCCTAGAGAGAGGGAAGGACATATGGTCAGCTGCCTTCCTCTTCTATCTAAGCAAAAATACCACCCAAGGAGCCCTCCCATTTCCATGGTGGAGAGAGTGAGACTTCACAGAACTCCATAAAATGTTTCTATATTTTCTCAACCGTGTTAGGAGAAAAATTTATATTTTGCTAAATGGTTTTCCCTTCTGTTAGTTTGGTATGTTTTTTCCTGTTTAGATTTTGGCCCAGAGGGCTGCTGTGATCTTTAACATTCAGAAAAGTATTTTCCATGTTATTTCTACCCAGAGAAGTTGTTTGATTTCCCATTTGAACCTCCCCTCTGCCATCGTGATTGATCTTGACCCTTCTTGGGTTTCCAGCTTATTTCTCCTCTTTGCCATTTCCAGGTTGTGGTCATCAATACTATATTTGGTCAGAAAGTGTGTTTGCATTTTGCATATTTGATTAGGACATCTGCTTTTAGTTGTCTGCAGTAATAGGGGCAGAGAGAAGGGGGTAAGTGAAACTCACAAACACATCTAGCTAATACTGGTTTCAACTTTCTCCCCATTCAGTCTCCTGTACTAGAGCCACTGATAGACATTAGCTGCTTCTTTGTTCACTCACTTTATTTTCCTTGTCCATCAGGCAATGAGGATGTTAATAAACAACCAAATGACTAAAAAGATGGCAAGATGAGAAAATTGAGGCTGGAGAATCAGTGGTGTGCTGAGGACTCCTGAGAGGCAATTGTTAAATACAGTACTTAGAGATTATGAACTAAATCACTACGGGTAAAGCATTGGTAGACAGAAATCAGCTATGGTGAGAATATTTACACTACGGAAACTGGCAGGTGCTACAAATTAACATCTTTAGACCCCTTGGTGAGGAAGGTCTTTCTGCGAAAGGTTGAAGAGGAGGGTAGAGGTGAGCAGGGGCATATCTTACAGGCCTTGCTGAAGAGCTTGGAATTTATCCAAAGTGCCATGGGGGAGTAACTGAACTAGGTTTA